GTCCCAGCCCAGGAGGAAGAGGAGGACGAGAGCTGGAGAAGGAAGAGATGGCCAGCACCATCACGCTGGAGCCAGTAACCAAAGCATTGGATATGTGGTGTCCAAAGGCAGGGCAACCAAGGCTCACACAGCAAATGCTTTACTGTCCCTTGGAGAGGTAGGAAGCAAGCAGCAGAAGCTGAGAAATGGCTGTCCAGGGGGGTCCCTTTAAGCATGAATCTCAGATAGCCTTAGGCAGCAGCATCTAGAAGCAATTGCTGACCTAATGCCCTGCTTGAACTGGTTCCAGGTGGCCTTAAATGCGAGATAGCGTCCAATCAGTGTGGAAACTATCTTTCTGTAGTCCCCTTAGTAAAGGAGCCTCTGACTTTTACTGGGAGGATCCTTCGTGCTGCAATCTAGCACGAGAGACTACAACTCCCATGAGCCGTTGGGGGAAAAAGGTGGAATGGTGGCTCTTCCAGGTTATGTAGGAGAGGGTGGGTGAGCTCCATTTTGGAGAGAGGAGCCAGCCTGCTGGTGGGGAGCCTGCCAAGGCGTGAATCCAGCAGGGTGCTTTAGGGGCTGTTGATTATCCCTAAGAAGGTAGACTCTGGCTGTGCTTGTGGCTGAGAGGGGCTTACATAAGCCTGCACAGGAGGTAACTGTGAGTAACTGGGCTCTTTGGGAAAGTGCTGCCTGGGACAGAGCATAGAACATACACTGACTCTGGGTCCAAAGAGAGGCAGAGTGACCAGTCCAGTGAACCAGAGCTTCTGGCATTTTGTGGGGTCTGCTCCAGTGGCAGAGGGATGTTGAAGCTGGCTGCTCAGTTTGGACTAACAAACACAGAACCTGAACAGTGCTGTCTCCACTCCAGCTGCAGACCTTCAAGCATGCCCATGCAAGTGTAACCCTTCCACCTGGTAGCACAGGCAGCAGCCAGGTCTGGGTTCATTATCTAGGGGTCTCTTTTCATCCATCTCATACAGAACCAGCTCGAGTTCACACCCAGCAGCCTGGGAAATTCACACACCCCAGGCGCCTCTGAGAGGCAGTGCTTCCCCACTCACAAGCACAGAGTCTGAGCGCAGAAAATAAACTTTTAATGAAAGAGAGAGAGAAGTGAGGGTATGTCTACACTACCCCGCTAGTTCGAACTAGCGGGGTAATGTATGCATACCGCACTTGCTAATGAAGCCCGGGATTTGAATTTCCCGGGCTTCATTAGCATAAGCGGGGAGCCGCCATTTTTAAATCCCCTCTGCTTCGAACCCCGTGCAGCGCGGCTACACGGGGCTCGAACTAGGTAGTTCGGACTAGGTTCCTATTCCGAACTAAGAAAAAAGGTAGTGTAATAGAATTCTATATTAATATTACTTTACCGCCTTTCTACCATGCTACGCTTGAAGTTTAATAAAGACAAATGGCAAAAGACCGCCTTGGCTTAACCACGAGATCTTGCATGATCTAAAAATAAAAAGGAGTCATATAAAAAATGGAAAGTAGGACAAATTACAAAGGATAAATACAGGCAAACAACACAGGAATGCAGGGCAAGATCAGAAAGGCAAAGGCACAAAATGAGCTTAAACTAGCTACGGGAATAAAGGAAAACAAGGGGTATGTCTACACTACCCCGCTAGTTCGAACTAGCGGGGTAGTGTAGACATACCCTAACATAGCTTGGGAAAATTCCACAACCAGAGTTCATAACCAACCCACGAGTAACCGTCCCAGCTCAAATGGATTGAGCAATGTCCTTTGCCTCTCAGGCTCACTGGTCCAACAAGGTAAGGGTCCCATTCACCTACCCAAACTTTCTCCGTACCCCACTTCAAATGCCCCACTTACAGCTCTGTCCAATCAGTGGGGACCCAGACACATCACCCTGATCACTCCACTCATTGAGCCTGAGGCCATGCCACCTTTGTACTGCTCCTGTGGTCCGTTTGCTCCTGTCAGCCACCCTGCTGGCTGCCTGCTCTCGCCAGCCACCCTGCTGACCACCTGCCACTGCTCCTACCAGGCGCCTGCCTGCTGGCCGCTTGCTCCTGCCAGCTGCTGCTTCCACGATGGGTCTGGGTCTGGCTCTGGGCCAAACTAGTGATTTCAGCTCTTTGTCAGTCTCTTAGTGATTCCAGCTCCCACTTGAATAATATTTCAAAATAACAAAGAGACTCCTTTTGGAGTCTGTTTTACGACTATCCTTAGAATGGGGTGGGAGGGGGGAAAGAGAGAGAGACAGGTTGAACCAGTCTTATACCTCATATCTGGAGGACATGGAGCTTGTTGGTTCAAGCTCCTTCACCTCATTCCAATCCACTTGAGTCTGGAAGGGGAAAGCGTGTCCATCCAAGACTCTTTATAATGACAGTGTCTCTCCTGCAAGCACTGGTGTAATATTTTATAATTCCTGCATTTAGGGTTAACATGGTTTGTGACCCCACTCCAGCGAAATTAGTTATAATACACAACATTCCATTCCAACAAGGCACAGGGTTCGAACGAGCGGGGATTTAAAAATGGCGGAGCCCCACTTATGCAAATGAAGCCCGGGAAATTCAAATCCCGGGCTTCATTTGCAAGTGCGGTATGCCTACATTACCCTCCTATTCCGAAATAGGAGGGTAGTGTAGACATACCCTTAGTGATTTCAATTCTTAGGCACCACCATTCCACGAGGAGTAACGGTAGTTCGAACTCGGAAGCCTAGTTCGAACTACCTAGTTCGTGCCGCGTGTAGCCGCGCGGCACAGGGTTCGAACGAGCGGGGGTTTAAAAAATGCGGAGCCCCGCTTATGCAAATGAAGCCCGGGAAATTCAAATCCCGGGCTTCATTTGCACTAAGGGTATGTCTACACTACCCCGCTAGTTCGAACTAGCGGGGTAGTGTAGACATACCCTCACAGATGATATCTAAAGTCTCAGATAACTCTTATATCAGCTCCTTGAGTATTCTAGGATGAATTTCATCAGGCCTTGGTGACTTGCAGACATCTAACTTTTCTAAGCAATTTTTACCTTGTTCTTTTTTTTTATTTTACCTTCTAAGCCTACCCTATTTCCACTAGCATTCACTATGTTAGGGATCTCTTCATCATTATACTTCTTAGGGATGACAGAAATACAGAAGTCATTAAGCATCTCTGCCATTTCCAAGTTCCCTGTTATTGTTTCTCCCTCCACAATGAGCAATGGGCTTATCCTGTCCTTGGTCTTCCTGTTGCTTCTAATATATTTATAAAATGTCTTCTTGTTACCCTTTATGTCTCTAGCTAGATTGAACTCATTTTGTGCCTTTGCCTTTCTAATCTTGCCCCTGCATATGTGTGTTGTTTGCTTATATTCATCCTTTGTAATTTGACCTAGTTTCCACTTTTTATATGACTCCTTTTTTATTTTTAGATCATGCAAGATCTCCTGGTTAAGCCAAGGCGGTCTTTTGCCATACTTTCTATCTTTTCTACACAATGGAATAGTTAGCTTTAGGGCCTTTAATAATGTCCCTTTGAAAAACTGTCAGCTCTTTTCAGTTGTTTTTCCTTTTAGTCTTGCTTCCCATGGGACCTTACCTAACAGCTCTTTGAATTTCTAAAATCTGCCTTTCTGAAATCCATTGTGTCTATTTTGCTGTTCTCCCTTCTATCATTCCTTTGTATCATGAACTCTGTGATGTCATGATCACTTTCACCCAAGTTGCCTTCCACTTTCAAATTTTCAATCAGTTCCTCCCTATTTGATAAAATCAAATTGGTAGTGGTGCAATGAAGTTTGAGAACCCCAAGCCTACATTGAGATGGTTTACACCAGCATAAATGTAAATGATGAAGTTACATTAGTTGGTTTCCTTCATGTACACAGGACCTAAAGGTTGAGGCTCCAGCTCAGGGCGGAGAGAACAGTGCAGTCTCCATAGGTCAGTCAGTGTTTGGCCTCTCTGCTAAGGGAGGTCCCTGGGGCCAAGCATGGTAAGGGGAACATTCATTAGGGACTGGACTGAGGCCAAACTCTGTTACCAGGCACCTACAAAGAAACTTTTAAGCTCTCATTTACTACTGACCATGCCTGGATTTGAACTAGTGACCTAAAGATGGTCCGTGTCCCCTTTATTCCAACTCATGCAGTGCCAGGAAATATCCAACATCTCTATCTAAGCTATGGGTATTCCTGATGAATCTTTGGTGTGTAGGCTTGTGACAGGTCCAACACCCACGTCTTGTGAGCATCTCCTCTGGTTGCATGTGCCTGTGTTCCTTTTCTTCTGGTGACTGCCTTTTAGTGGTTCTCAGGTGGTTTTTCTAGTCCCGCCTAGGATTCTATCTTTAAATGATCTCATCCCTTGAATGGGGCTATATCCCCAGGGTTTTCCATGTAGAGACACTGTTCTTTTGAGACTCTCTCCAAGCTCAGTCCTCATCCAATGCAACCAGCTGTCCAGAAGCCTCTCACTCCATTGGTCCCTGACCCTGTTTAGCTATGGTTGTACTGCAGTTCTCTGAGGCAACTGGGCATCCAGTCCATTTCCTCCCAGCCCCTAGTAACAGCTCAGCCCAGAATCTCTTACCAACACTCCCCTTGCCCTGTTCTACCACTCCTTTTTATATGGCCCTCCTGGGCCCTGATTGGTTGCTTCTTGTGACACCACTCTAGCCTGCTTGGAGAATCTCTCCACTGTTCCCTTCCTGGGATAAGTGTGACAA